CTGATAAAAAACTCACATTTAAAAAAACCTTATATGACCAATAGGAATGAAGTTAGGGACTATTTTTAAAAAATCATATCTCCATTGTTTATAAACATTAAGAAGTAAAATTTGCACAAATTTTGAATGAAAATCTAAGCTTTATAGTGATTATAGCTATAAAATTCATCCAATTTTTCGAAACTTACAGCCTTCAAAACGAAGGTACTTTCGAAAGATCGACATAGAAAAGTGGAGGGGATAACTGTTTCAGCTCTGTTTTGTTTTTTCGAGATCGGAAGTTCAAATTGAAACACGTAGGCAAAATTTACATTATCTCGGCTTCCATTGCAGCTAGAAGCCACTTTTTTTAATCTGGGGTAGCTCGTCGAAATATGAATAACTACATAGTTTCCACTGGCCGGGAAATATGGGAAACCTCGGAAAAATTGAGTTTTATAATTTGGCTGGAATAGGCAGTTGCAGTATTAATACTGATGACATAATTTTCACCTCCTCACCCTCGGAAAATCAATTTTTTTTTCATTTTATATCAATGATGTAATAATACTTAATTTTATGGTTTAAATTTCACGTCATATTATATTATTATATTCCTTATTATTATATCCCTTTTATTAATTATAATTATTTACTACTTTGACGATCTATATGTTAATATATGTGTATACGTATATGTACCGGGTGGTCCAATAAGCCGATCTCTCGGCTATATATCAGAAACTATTCATGTTATAACTTTAGGAGAAAAAATTCCTTAGTAAAAGTGGTCAAGAGAAATCGCTGGAAATAACTTTCAAGTTTCTGGGTTAACCGCTAGGGGGCGTAACCTGTGAATAAAAATTTGAAAACCAGTTTTTTGTGAAATATGCCCAATTATACCAAGTGTTAAATAAGTAAACTAAAAGAGGCCTAAATTCCGCACAAAGTTGTTCAAGTACTTTTTTTTATTTTTTCAAATAAAGGATGGGGGAGAGTGGGAAAGTATTTGTGGATAAATACCTATAACTTTGGTTTGGATCAACCGATTTTAACGAAATTAGTGTCATTAGAAAGAGTATGGATGATTTAATTTATATCTACTATAAAACAATTGAATTTAGTTTTAATTGTCATGGGTAGAGGGTACTTTTGAATAGAAAAAATTAAAATTTATTTTTCTTCAAAATGTTTAATGGATACACCTATTTATTGTAAATTATAATGAAACTGGATTAAAGTCGTAACAAAACGGCGCAAACCGTATGTTGATAGCTTTTGTAGAACTCGAGATATGAATAAAAACGCATAAACATAAGTAAGTATAGTATTGACTCACCCTTTATTATAACTTAAAATTAAATATGTGAAAGATCATACAAACATCTCGATCATTAAAACTTAATGTCCAATTAAATGTTCAAATTGTTTTCCATCATTGTCCACACAAAGATGTAATCTTTCGCGCGTAGACATAACAGCTGCTTCAATCTCAGCTGTTGATATACTATTTATTGCGTTTATAATGCGCTGTTTTATCTCGACTCGCGTGGTTGGTCAAGTTTGGTACACAAAGTCCTTCAATCTTTCCCACAGATAAAAGTCCAGATATGTTAAGTCTGGAGATTCCCCTTCCAATCCATTTATTTGGATAACTTGCATACAAATAATCTTGAACTCGTCTGGAAAAGTGCGCAGGACACCCGTCATGTTGTAATATCATATCTTGTTTGTAAGGAAATATCTTCCAATAAAACAGGCAACTTATTTTCCAGAAAATCCAAAGGATAGAAGCGCCGTGTTGCCGTTTTTATCGGAATATTAAAATAACAGTTGAATCTAAAGTTTAAAGGGAATTCCAAGTTTCCAAACTCAACGTTCACTTTATAATATGAAAAACCAACCTGTGATGTTTTAAAATCCTTAGAACAGTACTTTTGGGTATGTTTAATTCTATAGAGATTTGCCGACTACTTATATGTGGATTCTGTTGAATTAAAGCAAGAACATTGATTGAGTTATCTTCGGTCATACCTCTACTACATCGTTTACAGGACGATAAAAACTACCAATTTATCTTAATCTTCTTACCTGTCTGTCAAATACTTCTTTGCCATAATGTCTCCTGTCAGGATATATTACAGAATATATACGTGAGGGAATAGCGGCATTTTGGTAACATTCGAAATAAACTCCAATCATATACAATTCTGCATTTGATATACTCATCACTGAATATTAGTACTCATAATTAATTACTAATATTACCAATATTAATATCTATTGAAAAAAGTGCAATCTTAAATTCGGATTATAATATAACACTTTCAAAAAAACTATTTTTAATCATATAAAATAACAATGGTCAATATAGTTTATTTTGCTATAAAAAAATTTGAAAGTACCTACTGACTTATTTTTTAATTTAATTTATAATACAGGGTGAGTCAATACTATACTTACTTATGTTTATGAGTTTTTATTCATATCTCGAGTTCGACAAAAGCTATTAACATGCGGTTTGCGCTATTTGGTTACGAATTTAATCCAGTTTCATTATAGTTTACAATGACTAGGTATTTCCATTAAACATTTTGAAGAAAAACGAATTTTAATTTTTTATATTCGAAAGTACCCTCTACCTATGACAATTAAAACTAAATGCAATTATTTTATAGTAGATGTAAATTAATTCATCCACACTCTTTCTAATGACACTAATTTCGTTAAAATCGGTTAATCCAATCCAAAGTTATAGGTATTTATCCACAAATACTTTCCCACTCTCCCCCACCCTTTATTTGAAAAAATAAAAAAAGTAGTTGAACAACTTTGTGAAGAATTAGGCCTCTTTCTAGTTTACTTATTTAACACTTGGTATAATTGGGCATATTTCTCAAAAAACTGGTTTTCAAAGTTTTCTTCACAGGTTACGCCCCCTAGCGGTTAACCCAGAAACTTGAAAGTTATTTCCAGCGATTTCTCTTGGCCACTTTTACTAAGAAATTTTTTCTTAATCTTATAACATGAATAGTTTCTGATATATTATAGCCGAGAGATCGGCTTATTGGACCACCCGGTACAGTACGAGGACGGTAAACATATTTATTTATGTTTTTAGATCTAAATATCTCCAAAGATCACAGACTATACCGTCCTCGTGTCCCTACATTATATATATATATATATATATATATATATATATATATATATATATTCATGTGAATAGGATAAAGATCATCTATATAATAGAAAACGGGTAACATATCTTTCATAACATATCATAATCAAAATAGTCCCTAACTTCGTTCCTATTGGTCTTAGGTTCTTTTTATGTTAGTTTTTTTTACCACATATCCAATGGTTCTACGTACAAGTCTGTAGCTTGAAAAATATAGAAGTTATTACAATTGTTTATAAGTAAAAAACATACCCCTTTTTCAAACGTTTATTTTGTAAATAATTTCGATGAAAACGCAATACGCATTTAACTTCTGAGATAGTTTAAGTCTTAAAGAATCCTATGAAATTTGCTAAATGTGTCTAGCATCATTAATAGAGCAAGTTCAATAGTTTAAATATTTAGCTTCATGGATAAATAAATTAAATAACTTATAATGGATAAATAACTATTTGGCCGATTGGGGGGAACTTTCGCACAAATTTAAAAGACGGTAATTCCTCGATGTTCAAATGTATTAATACCATTTTATTTTGTTAATAATACGGGAAAATAAAGATATTCTTGATATAAAAAAATGATATAAATATTGTTTATGTAAAATATAAGGGAAAAAACTTATAGACAAAAAATCAAATTGTGACCATAAATTATTGTTTAAAAAAACGCAAGGTAAAAATACGAGTATTTTTCATCTATTCGTCATCTAGTAACCCCACCTATGTCTTAAAAGCTTCAGATATCTGTGAAAAATTTTGCTGTGAAATTGATGATTTTTGCATAACCAGGCTAGGCTTAATGTAGCATCTGTATATCGACGCTACTTTACAAGACCTTACTAACTTTTTTTCTGTACCTACTTGTTACAAGAAGTTTAACCATTTCAATAGTTAGAGATTTGACGCCGTGTTGTTACTTTAAAATATACGCTTTTTTTTTAATCCCTTACTGAGTCATCTAAGTTTATTTCAGAAAATTTTTGAGTCTAAAATGATGGTACAGTAAAAATATTATATATATTTAGTTCAGGGTTTTACCGTTTACTCGCTGCCGCTATATACATGAAAATGTATATCCGACTTTCATTATCAATCATTTTAGAAATATAAAAGTAAGTAAAGTAAGAAAAATAGAAAAGTCAAATACAGCAACATGTCAAAAGGGCCTTAGTCACGTATCTTCAGTCCTATTAGTCCAATCGTGATGTACAGTACCTCAAATGATAGGACTCAACCAATAGAATATAAGGAGATAGAAAAATCAAATACAGCAGCATGTCAAAAAGGCCTTAGTTAAATATCTTCGTTTCTAAGTCCAATCGTGACGTAAAGTACCTCAAATGATAGGATTTAACCAATAGAATAGAATGAAATAGGAAAATCACATTCTTAATATATATTTTGTTGTGTAAGAATATTCATAATATTCTTACACAACAAAGTCAAAGAATCTGTGAACTATACAACAAATACGCTATTTTATCTAACAAGATAGCATTGAAAAACAATACTGTTTACGAAAACAATGCTATTCGTGAACAAGGAATACTCAGAAATAACTGTAGAATCGTATATTCGTTCGTTTTAGGTTACACGTATAATCGCGCTGAGACTAAGTTGATTTTTCAGTAGGACATATTATTTCAAACATGTACATTTAAACATTTCAAACATTTCAACATAAATCTGTGAGAATACATGGCGTTAAAATCTTGTTTTTTGAAATTTTGAGGGTGTCTTGTTTTTCCTTTGGACTATACAAATGATCTAATATTAGCATAAGTAGCATATCCAGTAATTTTGTTATTTTTGCACAGTTAATTTTTACCTTTTTATTATAGGTTTATCGAATTACCTACTGTTCAAGTCAGAATATATCTAGAAGTTCAAAGGGCAGTATGTGAAGCTGTGAGAGACCTTTGCAAAAAGATAAATCAACTACTCCTTTTACAAACTCTTTACGAAACTAGAACATGTGATGCACTTTTGGAACCTGACGACAGCAATGATATGTGCAATTCTCCTATATCAAGAATTCCTTCTTTTGGAAGAATGAAAAGTTATGATTGTAAGTTTTAAAGCGATAAAAACTAATTAATTACTTGTATTGTTCTTTTTAGACGCAGAAGTGAGTGAAGATAGTGATATAATCTCATATGCAACAAGTCTAACAGACGCATCGCTGAACTTTAAAATTGGTGAATTCAGTTGTCCAGTTGTGTGGGAAACTCCCTTTATTTTACACCCACGGTTAAAAACAGGTCCCGGAAAAGCCGGATTATCAAGAGGAATATTGGCATTGAAGAATATTCTTGATAAATTCTCCGTTTCTAATAGGAATAATATGTTTGTTTATAGAGATAATCAGAAAAATGTTTTTTACTTAAGGTAAGTTTTACATTTTCTGTCTTACTTCAGCTTCCGCTTTTTTGCGGATTTTTTTAAAATTTTTTAAATCTTCGTATCTACGAATATGAACATTATTTTCTGCAGAGTTTGTGTGTTCAGTAAAGTTTATAGTACATATATAATAGCATCGATAATATATTACATATTGAGTTGTAAGTTAGCAACTATTCATCTGTTGTATTTTAGAGAACTGATGAAGCTTTAGAAATGTAAAGCGAAACGTCTTCGATAAACTTATGAAGTAGTTAACTTCTTTTTTTATTTGCCAACCTGAATTGCCGATTAAACCTCTGAATTCACTTGTTAAATATTTTATAAATAAATATATATATATATATATATATATATATATATATATATATACATATACATAAGCTATACGCTATACGCTCCCAAAGAAGTTGAAGCTGAAGATCCTTTTTGTGTGGGAGATCATCCCACTCTGGGTTTGATTTTACAGTTTCTGGTTTCTGGTGCGGCTTCGCTATTTCCACTAGTGTTCTTCATTCTTCTCTGTCTTTGATTGTCCTTCCTATATTTCTCATTTCCATACTCCTTAAATCTTCTTTCACTTATTGTATACATCTCGGTTTAGGCGTTGGTTGAATAACCCAAATTATTCAATCAACGGTTTAGGTCTTTCTCTGTTTTTTTTACCTGGTGGTATCCATTCCGTTATAACTCTTAAGGGATTGCTCTTCTCTTCGCGTTATATGTCCATACCAGAGAACTACGAACGCAGAGAAGCGACACTCCTTTGATCTTGCGTGGGCAAGCCGCCAACGAGTGAAAATGACAGGAAAGCAACCAACTTACTAATAGTCAGTGGGCATATCACACAATATAAATTCTTAAATACAATTGAGCATTTATGTTGACTTTCAATAAATATGAAATATTGCACTGAAAAAATAATTACATGCAGGGCCGGCTTTTGTTGACATTCTAAATGGTGTAATTATTTTTGATTTACAAAAGGTTGCAAATACATCGCACAACGCAAAGTAATGGTGAAAATCGTATTGATGGAACCATAGATGAAAATACTTTTTTGTTTATTCTGATGTTGGCATTGATAATACAATAATACACCGATTCTTTTTGGCTTGTGTTGATACAAGATATAATTTGTTCGTCGTGGAATTTCCTAATAAATTATCTTTCGTAATATAATCGAAAAATAACAAAGCCATTGTAACTGCCACGGAAATTTCACAAACTCTAAAAATTCCAATTCTCTTTGGGTGAGACTGAGAAACAAGAAACTTTATATTGATATCGATTGTTAATGTCTTGGAAACCTATTAAAATTACATTTTTCCTTTAAAGTCGAATATTGGAGTAAACGATATTCGACTAAAACGAATAAAAAATCAAGAAGTAACTATTGTACGAGTATATTTCTATAAATATAAAAATGTAATAACCTAAAAAATAATCAAAAAAGTATAACGAATCATTACAAGAGAGCATTAGGAAGATAAAACGAATTTATATTATTGTCATTACACATGATTCGGATATACATAGTAAATCCAGACTTTCAGTTTTAACTAATATTTCGATACAATTTATTTTGTTTACAATAGATTCAGAGTTAATACATACGATTTTTAGTTGATTGGTATTGCCTTTAAAATTATTTGTAGTATCTAGTTTGCCTAAGCCGGATTTGTAACAATTATTTCTGGTTTTGTTGTTAACTGCGGTTAGTACAATTCTTATACTTGAAGTCAAAACGACGAACCATTGAACCTTCAGGCCAGATACTGGGATTGAGAACTTCATTTTTATAATCCAATGGATATGAAACTTTAAAGCGGGCTTGGTACTCCGTAACCTTTAACTTCTTGAAGTAGACATGTATATTTGGAGCATTTACCTTTAAATTATTGGTCAAATCTTCCGTTGTCTGTTGTGGAATTATATTATGGTGTAAATAAATAATGATTGATTGGAGTAAGATTTATGTCTGTTTACTCTTAATATTGGCTATGAGCATATGTGCTTGGTTGTAAATATAGTAATTGTCATCCAGTTCTAGTCTGTTACTACTGTTAAAATACTAGATAGTTGTGTCTGAGATTAGAGAATCGACTATACATACACTACATACATTCAGTATCATTGTATATCCAAGATGGACGCCGCTACACAATAGGGGATTACTTATTTTTTCACAACTACAGTCCTCTCTTCTATAACGATATGCAAGGGACCGGGAATTTTGATCGTTATAAGGAGAGATCGTTATACAGAGAGGGAAAAAATTCGGTACTGTAATATTAATAATACTGTACTAAATAACCTATTTTAATTTTAAAACTGATCAAAACTAATATAAATAAATTAACACTGTACTGTACACCACATAGATTTATTAAAGAATAATATAAGCAATACAGTATAAAAAAATGACTGTACAATTAAAACATGTGTACTGTACAATAACAAAATAATATGCTACTGTAAAATATATTTAGCCTACATTACCAAAAAAGTCTGTCACCTTGGTCTGTTTCCTTTTCCCTTTCCACAGAACTGACCTGACCTTATCCTGAAGATGCATAGAATCTTCCACAGCACTCATATCGTCTTCCTGGTGGATGAAGAATCGATGCAGTACTTTTGCCGCATCCAATGCTTGCTGAGAGGTCGGAACTGGTTCTGGCTCTGCTTTCACTTCCGAGTCACTGTTTTCTTCTTCTTCTACACGAACTGCTTGTAGGATGTCCTCGTCAGAAAGTCCAGATATTGTAGCTACATTTTTATCAACTTCTTTAAAATCTGTTAGCTCTTGCGGTCCGTAGAAGATAGTAAGTTCAAAGTGTCTGGCTCAAATATCTAATGACAGGTCATCTTCATCACCAGTCAATTCTTGATATTCCAACCATCCTGCGTGTTTGAAGGAATTTTTTATTGTATTGCTCGTCACCTCATCCCAGGATTTACCAACCATTAGGATGGCGTTAAGAATGTTTAGTTTAAGGCCATTGTTCTCTACCAATTCCATCAAAAGTCTTCTCCTGTATTGGCTTTTCAAACTCTTGATAACACTTTGGTCCATAGGCTGTAGGACACTCGTTATGTTTGCTGGCCGAAAACAAAGTTCAATGTTTTGAAGGTCGCACAGTACAGTATAAGCAGGACAATTCTTATCGCTTCTTCAAAAATTTCCGAAGTCATCCACGCACTCTTGTTTGCTTTATAGGTCACCGTAGATTTTTTTATGTTTTTAAAGCAACGTGGGTTTTTCGACTTAAAGTGTTCCTTAGATAGCTTTCTATCAACGCTTATTTCCGATTTAATTTAAAGTTCTGTTTGGTGTCATTTTAAAAAACAATCAGTCTCATCAGCATTGAAAATGTCGTCTGACGCATATCGTGCCTTCAGTCCAGGCCACACGTTTTCTAGCCAATCATCCGTTACGTTTTTGTTAACATCGCGAGCCTCTCCGCTGATTTGTCCGTAGATGATCTTGTGCCGCAGCTTCCACTTGCTCAGCCAACCCTCAGATGCCTTGAAATTCTCAATTCCAAGCTCAGTTGCAAAAAACTTTGTTCTGACCACAGGCCCAGAAAGTGGAATATGGTTCATACGCTGCTGCTGAGACCACTGAAGTATAGCGCGATCTAAATCTTCGTGCTGAGGTTTCCGCAACTTCTTCTTGCTATCGCCCTCGATCTACGCTTCAAGCTACTTTTTTCTGTCCCTCTATATAGTAGGCACAGTTGACTGAGATAGCCCGTATGCTTTTCACATTTCTCTATTGCTTGAGTTATCGATAACTTTTCCTCTAACTAGAGCACTTTACGCTTTTTCGAAAACATGTTGACTCTTGACATACTGAGACACAACTCAAACTGGAAATGAAAAGTCGTCAAAAGATTACAACATCTGTGTGATAACAGTTAATCACGCTGCTCGAACAATAAGAGCGAGTCACTTAACCCTCTGATAAGAATGAGTACAATGAGAATAAGAGTACATAAGAATGAGTTATCGACTATTGAACGCTGAAAAATCATCGCTATAAAGAGAGAACGATATCGGTATAGAGAAAGAATTAATACATTGTCCTTATGACAAACTAACGATAGTTTACTATTTTCATCGTTATAGAGGAATTATCGTTATATAGGGAATCGTTATAAAGAGAGACTACTGTACTTCAATATGGGTATCAAATGAAAGGGCTTGACTAGTAGAAAAGAGTTCATTATAGAAAATCCAAAATGGCCGCCAACAAAATGGTGGATTACATATTTTATTTATTTTTATTGACTTCCGAAAGGCATTTGATCGTATTAACTACTCTATATTGATTGAAGTTCTAAGAAACATTGGTTTGGATGGCAGAGACGTTCGCATAATTGCAAATTTGTATTAATATTTTTTATTTGTACTTCCCATTTAAATATTTATTCCCTAAATATGTTGTGTACTCCGATCCATATATTTGATCTTTGTTATTTATATTTAACGAATTAAACATTGACAGACAACTTTTGTATATAGCAAAAAGTAGATGAGTATTTAGTTTTTTCATAATTTAATGTAAGTTTGTTTCTTGAAAAAGACAGCAAATATTTGAAGTTATGTTAATGTAAGTTTGTTTATTTGCAATCATGTTTTTATTTTGAAATCTGGTTCTGTTGTAATTTTAAGATTTCCCAATTGTGTTTATCGTATTATATTGAAATTTGGAAGGTACTGCGTCATGCACCAATGTTTTTCTTTTATTTTTTTTTTTGACAATAAGATTATCTTCAAAATGTAGTTCACAAATCCTATAACTATTATAAAGTATATCCATTTTTAACAATAAATCTTCTCGTCAGCAAGCTTCTATCCACATTTTGGCACTACAAATTTTTAACAGAACAAATTTTAAACAAAGAACTTTTTGTATTTATAAATAATACTTCATTACTTACAACTATAAGAGTATTAGTATATTCTAAGTGTATTGTAAGTAATGAAGTATTTAACTTTTGTCAATATCTCATCTTAATAAATTTACAGTTTTCTCCTGATTAAGTCACAAAATTGTCACTAAATATTGAGATATACAACAAATAAAGTTTTAATATTTTTTATTTGTAATTCCCATTTAAATATTTATTCCCTAAATATGTTGTGTACTCCGATCCATATATTTGATCTTTGTTATTTATATTTAACGAATTAAACATTGACAGACAACTTTTGTATATAGCAAAAAGTAGATGAGCATTTAGTTTTTTCATAATTTAATGTAAGTTTGTTTGGTGAAAAAGACAGCAAATATTTGAAGTTATGTTAATGTAAGTTTGTTTATTTGCAATCATGTTTTTATTTTGAAGTCTTGTTCTGTTGTAATTTTAAGATTTTCCCAATTATCGGTCTAATTATGTTTCCAACAATTTTTAGTTTGAGCATTTTAGGAATTTCTTTGTTTCGTTTAAATCAAATATTCTCGTGTATAAAACCCTCTATATATTTTTATTTCCTAAAAATACTATATTCGTATTGTTGTCTGCGAGCGCTTTCACACCAGTAGGCCAACATCTGTTGATTTTTTGACCTGAGCCTTCGGAGACAATAAATTTAATGTGTGTTCGTAGTTCTCTGGTTTTTATTTTGAACTATCCCTTGGCAGACCAAAATTTATTTTTTTATTGCTCCACTTAACGAGAGCTCGGACGGACACGTCGGCGTCGGCTTACTGATCGAAAGTCAAATTAATACTATTATGTAATAACTAATAATAATTACAAAGCAATAGTAATTACCTGTTATTATTCTTAGGAAATCTAAATAAACTTATTCCTTTTCCTGTCACAGATGAACATCCGCGAAACGCACAACAATAACCAGAAGACATTTTAAATACTTATAAATTAAACTTTTAACTATAAACTATAACTATAAACTTATATATTTAACTTATATATTTTAACTATAACTATAAACTTTTAACTACTAAGTAAATTAGATAAATGGTCAAATGCACTTGTATAGTCGAGAATTTACCACAGGTGCCTACGGACTATCGTAAGCAACCAGAGTTGAAGAAAACGCACGTGTTTTTGACAGTAAAGCAACCAATTTCGGGCATGCGTATACAGAAAAGATACACGGATTTCGGGCTCGTGTCGCTTCTCTGTGTTCATAGTTCTCTGTCCATACCATCTAATTATCTGTGCTTTTATTGCTCTTACTATATTCTCTTCACCCATCCATTCTTGTATTTCGTGATTTAAAATAAAAAAAATAATAATTGAAAATTCACTTTTCTGTACGTACCAATTATTGACGTTTTTATAGTGGACATAAATAAAAATGTATATTCTTGCTTTAATATAAACTTCTATTTTAGTGTAATTGGTATTAATACGCAGTTGCATGTTACAGGCTTCAAGAAAATATGAATTATACTGGTATGAAATCATCTATGTTGAGATCTATTGATTTTGAATGCAGCACCGTCTCTAGAAGTCCATCTATTGCTTCGTTGCCATTCTGTCAAAATAAGTCAACATTGACACAATCAGAACAGAGCATAACGTCAGCTACTTCGGTAATTATATACAAAAATTTATTCATTCATTTTAACAAATTTTATAAAAAAATTTATATATATATATATATATATATATATATATATATATATATATATATATATATATATATATATATATATATAGATTGAACGAAATAAATTCGGAACATACGAAATATTATGTATTTCGGCTCAATTTTGCTGTAGGTGGTTGGCCAACAAAAGGTTGTCAAATAATTATATTATAAAAATCCAATACTTCAGCGGGCTGCTGGATTCTGAAATCATAAAAATTGAAAGCTACACATAAATCTACGATTTTATTATGCTGTCAAACCAGTTATCGCTTCTTTATACAAGCCCTCCTTTGAGCGGTGTTGCAACCTCATTCCTTTAGATGTTTCTCAAATAAGGTGTTATCCATAAAATATTTACAAGAAAAAAAAAAGAAAATAACTACATTGTACTACATAAGAACATTCTTGCGGGACAGATAGTTGAACGATATTTTATACAATGTCTAAACCCAGGTATGGATTTATTTTTGTCCAAGTTTTGTATTGGTCCTCTATATCAAATACAGTTCAAACAGACATATATTAAATTGTATGATCCGTTTTAAATTCGTTCAATCTGTATATAATGTAAATTCAGCCTGACGTATGCCCGGTACAACAACAGACATGATTTCAAACTGTCTCCAGCTCAACTGGAAGTTTTTTGGTATTTTAATCCTTACCGATTATCATACACTTCTGGCGTGTGATTAGTATTGGTCAAAAGACCCAGATAAAGGCGTGGAACTCGTGAGAAAGTGCACGAGTCGAAACACCTTTCGAAGGATAAAAAGAAATCTTCATGTCTCCAATAAACTTATGGTACAAAAATGATAAATTTGCCAAGATACGTCCATTATTTTTGCTGATGATCGAACGATATTTGCAGTTTGGACTATTTGCTCATAATATGTCTATAGATGAACAAATGGTTCCTTATTTCGGCCGACATTCTGCAAAAATGTTTATGAAGGGTAAAGCAGTGCACTTTGGCTTCAAGGTCTGGTACTTGTGTAGCTCAGAGGGATATCTATACTAATTCATTCCTTATGGTGGCGCAAATCCAAAAAGTCAGAAATCTCAATATTGGGACCGTGCAAGTTCGGAAGAGCGACACCTGGTATCGTAAATCAGCAAAATTTACTGCGCTTTCATGTTAGATCGAGGTTACCGGATAACTGTCAAGGACGTAGCCCCAAAAAAGAATAAGAAGAAAAAGTAAGATTGAGGTTATGTCGGTATGTTATTAAAAGTTTACAAGGTAAACGTTGTAGTGTAAATACAATTAAATACATTATTAAATTACAGCATTACTGTTAATATGGATGCAATAATAAAAACTGGATTTGAGAAAGTAAGTCACCAAATAACTTTTTAAACCAAGCACTGAGTCAAAGGGAAAAGCTTTAGTAGTGGCAAATTATGTTAAGAATGTGGAAGAATTAACAAAAAATGGACAAAGCTATGTAATACATAGCCAAACTTAAAGTTACATTAGCATTAAACTTGATTTTTGGGTTAAAGTGAACTGAAGTGAGTGTTATTAAAATTTTCACTTAAAAGTGAACTTTTATTTATTATTTATTTCAAACTGACTTTAAAATCGGGCGCAAGAGTAATGCATAATTTAGGTTATGTTACTTACTTATGCGTTTTTATGATATAAATCCATTTGTCTGAATGACAAACCATAAAACCATGAAATATGACAATTTTACAATTGACAATATGAATTTATGAAATCTATGAAATGTGCAGTAAAAATGCAAGATTTCTCCGCTACTCGCGCACGATCGTTTCTCGTATCACATCCAAGTACTTGCACGTCGCCAATACATTATGGACGCAAGTAGTTTTGGATCTGCTACATGTAATGCAAAACCCTTCAGAACATAGAGTTTTCTTCGACAACTTCTCGAGTTCTGCGCTATTCCACATTCTAAGTGAAAAAAGAATTTTCTTTACTAGCACCGTGAGAAAGAATAGGTTACCAGGATGTCCTCTACAAAGTAGCAAAATGCTTATAAAGAAGAACAGGGGCGAGTTTGATTATGCTTTAGACAAAAAGACAGAAGTATTAGTTGCAAAGTGGAACGATAATTCCGTTGTGACTGTAGTCAACAACAATGGAACGGTTCATCCAATTGTTACAGTTAAAAGATATAATGCCATAATAACGCTACTGCTATACTACCGTACTGCCAAGTAATCACTTTATCTTGTATAATTAACTATTGTAGCAATATCTTTAGTTTTTAATTGATAAAACCAAGAAATTTCAGTTACTCACTATAAAACGTATAACTTTCAATTTACTACATATATTATGCCACAGTTTCGTTAACGAAACATATTTTTTTGTATATTGCAATTATTATTGTTATAATTTTAAGTGAAATATTGTTATTACAGAGACCCTAAAATACGAGATTCAACTTAATATATTATTTTTAGAGTGACATACGTCCAAGGGTGCGATCTTTTGGAGAAAAGGAGACGAAAGACCCACCAAACGAAGATACTCTTGTCCTTAAAGTACATGGAATCAATGAAGCAGGCTCCGATGTTCAACATGATCTAGTTCAGGTTCTCCAAAACCGGTTGGATGATGCAGTGTTAGAGTTTTTGTCAATTATGCTGGCCAGGAATGCTATGTGTCCTTTAACGCCAGAAGACGTGCATTTTATTCAAAGGCCATTTAAATTACCAGAAGTTGTGATCAGAGTAAGTTTTTCAAAATGTCTTAACAAAATAAAATTTTATATTCTTTGTTTTTTATGTTTTAGTTGACAATTCAAGAATTTGCTTTCTGTTGGTTGGATTCGTTTATTCACTATCTCAAACAGAACCTCCTCCAATTTCTAAATGTGCCCAAATATACTGACAACCGACCACACTACCACTTTAAAGATTATGCGGAAGAGAATGATCCAAATATATTAACCAATGGTGATAATCTTTTTCTTTACAACCAAAGTCAAAATCCTTCTTCGGGTAGCCGTGGAATTGCTTGTATAGCATTAGCTTTTGTTACTTCCCTTCAAGACTCAGGACCAAAAACCAAATCGTTTAATTTTTCCAAAATGTTTGAATCAGGGAAATTCGCTGCTACAGTCAATTCGGAGATTCTCGACAATAATGGTAATATTTATATTTATTATAGCTGGATTCATGATTATTCATGTGATCTTATAGTTTATATTTAAATTGGAATTAACAAAAAGTTAATTTTATAAAAAAACTTACAACGAAGTCAAAAAATTTTTGATGGATGAAGGTATATTTTTATTAAAATTTCTAAAAAATTACCCAGATGGATTAAAATTATCTTCAAAACTTTTTGGTTTGTCGGACCATCGTCAGTGAAACATCTTGAGAGTAGTTTAAACTAGCTACTTATTCAGGTATAATAACCTATAGATTACATGAAAAACATATTAAATGTTAAAAATGTGGTGACACGAGATCGGTGTTATAGGATATTTTGAAGGAACATATTTCGATGGCTTAGTGTGAAAATCTCTTATCTTATTATTTTTTTTTTTTTCGAAAATGACATTTTCTGGTTTTCGTTCGAAAACCACGTATCTCACGATTTACAACTATTAGAAAAAATTCATGTACTCCAGGCTGCCCCCTACAGTCGAAAAAAGAAACCACGTATATCGGTAGCTCTCATGGACGTATAAATAAAGATGGACTAGGCATGCCCTGCACTCTGTTCACCTAAATTTGAAGTCGAAAAGTTTACATCTCTGTGTGTTACAACTCTGTGACATTACCTTTTAAGTCAGCGGCGTACCTTCCAATATTTGAAAGTTATTTGAAACAGTTTTTTCACTTGAATAAATAATGACTATTGGTTTAATTGATTTTATTTTTAGTATCGTAAACATATGAAATATTTCGAATAAGTGAGAAACAACAAACGGTGAATAATTTTAATTTTCAAATATATTTATAGAAATTAATTTACACAAAAGAATAAAGATGGAGTAAATAAAATCGTAAAGTACTTTATATAATATTTTATTTAAACTAAAATATCGCACAAGCAATATAAAGTTTAAAAAATTCTTCCCCAAACATTAACCTGTTCAGGGTATTGAGTATGTTCTTCTCTTATCCAATGAGTGATAAGTTGAAAAAATATAGTGAATTATGGGGTATAACTCCAGCTTAATTGTTAGTTGGCAACATTAGTATGTAACGTTAGACAGCAGTAGACAGAAGAAAGATAAAAATTCAGGAATATGTATTTAAGAAAATATTAATAAATGTAATAAAACCATAAACCATTGTTTAACAAAACATAAATAACAAACCACATATACAACAATATATTATAATGTTTTTATTAGTCCTAATTTATTGTCTATATTCTAATTTATTGTCTTTATTATATAAAGACAATAGACACTACTACTGTAGTAGTACTATAGTAGTAGTGACAGTGTAGTGATCAGTGAACAGTGTAGTAGTGTCTGGGGGCTCGGGAGACTGAGACCTCGGAAGCCCTGAGGAAGACATCAGAGAGGATGCCGAAAGCTCGGCAAAATGGATATCGACGCGGTTCAACCCGGAAGACTGGTGAGTTTGATATTAATTTTAGTAATAATATTAATCTTAGCTCTAGGTTTTATTGTACTAACCGCATAAATCTTTCTGAACATATATATAAATATATATATATATATATATATATATATATATATATATATATATATATATATATATATATATATATATATATATATATATATATTGCTTGGTACCTAAACGTACTGTAATTTCTTAGTTACTAGTTAAGAAACTCTTCCACTGAATAATATGGTCTTTCAGATAGATAGGATTTTGTCATTTTACGGAACTTAAGGATAGAATTTGTAAGTTGCAGAGGGAGATAATTGTATAATTTTTTTGCCGAATATAATATAGATTTCTTTACTAAGTCAGTGGACGGGATCGATAATTATACATCAAAGGTTTAATTTCTGGTGGAGTAGTCATGATTGGGTCTTGTTGGAAAAATACGCTCACTTTTTATAAATATTACGTGGAACATATGAAAAAGTATTATCACCAAGTAACAACTCTACAGTTTCAGTTTCTGATGCTGTAATGGTGCTCGAAGATGCGTTTTCTGTATCTATATTTTCCTTGTTGTCTTCATTGTCATTTAAACATCTAGAATATTCAATTTATGTACATTAAAGAAAAATATTAAAATTGGTTTAAGATTGAAATAATCTTATACAAAATTTAGCCAAAACTCACCTCCTTTTTAACAGTTTAGGAGAATTAGATTTTACATTAAAGCAGAAAGTCTGTCTCCATATTACATTCTTCAGTATCAATAAAACTTCTAAAATATTTTAATATTAAAATGAAATAAGTAATCAAAATCCACATTTAGATTTTATTTGTAAATTTAATAAACAAATTCGATTCAAACCCACCTTTTTGAAGGTCCATAAAAATCATCCTTATCAATACTGCTGGAAGCTGTTGCTTTATTTTCCATATCGTTTGTAGAACTGAAACATAAATGAATTAATAAAAAAAAAGAAAAAAGACATGCTATCAATATTATGGAATATGCTACGAGTAAGCATTATATTTGGTTAAATTTAATTTTCGTACAATGAACATAACCTATAGATATGTTTGACGTTAAATGTAAGCTTAATATACGTCAGTGTTGCCATATACTTAATTATTTCACATTCTCTCATATAAAATTATGGGTAAGATTTATATTGTATGAAATGAAAATTTAAAATTGAAAAATACATATATAATTAAAAGCATTAAAATTATAGCTATAAATATTATAAAATAAAATTATATCTTGCATTTCTACATTTAAAAGTACTTAGAAACTTTAAAAACTACAGAATAAAGTAAAGTTAAATGAAAATAAACAAGTTAGGTTAAACAAAAGAATGTACTAAATATTTAGCTATATTTAAAGTAAAAAATACTATTTTATGAATGCTTTTTAATATGAATTCAAAGATTGTGGCTTCTCATAACAAAACATTATATAAAAATTAATGGGAAAATCCGAGTAGTTGGCTGTATACCATCGTTTAAAAAACTTATACAGAAGTAAAACCCTTCACATTTGTATTTAGGTATATACCTAAATACAAATGTGAAGCATTTTACTTCTGTATAAGTTTTTTAAAACATATATAATTTCGTCAAAGTATCTTTCTATTTTAAAAACTCCTATACTTTATACAAAAAAATGTGGCAACACTGTGACGCACAAACATATAATTTGATGCCAAGGTTATGTTCATTGTACTCAAATTCAATTTAGCCTTCTATTTATTATACTCTATATGGTAAATTACATAGAAATTCGTTATAGTTACCTTGGTTCTGGTGATTTATGGTAAATATTTATTGGAACAGTTCCTTTCCTCAAATTAACCCGTCCACTTGGTTGTATAATTAGATCATGCTTCTTAAAGTGTTCTGAGCAAACCGTAGCAGTTTTGGATACGTGTTCTTTGTTTAAGCCAAACACAGACAACCACATATCCAGCAGCAGTTGATTCTTTACTGGAAACCTGCATATATTTCATTGAAATTAATATATTTATAGCAATTATAGTGTAGGTTAGAAAAAATAAATAAATGTATTTATCGTTGGTCTAGCGCACAGAGGTGCTAAGTGAAAAATCGCTAATTCGAGTAATTGCGAAAACAAAGTTTATAACATAATATAAAGTCGAATAAATTTTGTTTCCAGCGATTTATTTGTTTTTGGTAAACTATACACAATTGTTTGATAATGCGATTTAAAAAAATTAAAATAAATATCATAGTTGCTTTAGAAAAAACATATTTTCAAAACAAAAGTTTCACTTAACTCATATGTGTTACTAGGTAATTTAAATTCTCAAACAAAACCTCTTTAAAAATAATTGTATTGAAGATTAGTCTATCTCCTTGTGTACTGCTAACTGCGTTGAATCCGATGTCGATGGAAGACTTATAATGAAATCTCTGTATTCTTCGGGAATAATTTTTTTATTGAGTAAATAAACAAGGTCTTCGTTTAGGATATTTTATTTAAAGGATATTTAGATTTTAGCTGTACACAAGTCCAGTTCTTTGTTCGGCCGAATCGTTGTCTGCTTTGTGTAATATCAAGTTCCAAAAAAGTTTCTGATGATAGATCGTACTTATATTGAATTGTAAATGCCTTTTCTTTCTGAAATCGCAGCTACTTGATTTTAAACCATTCAACGTTGTCCCCAACACAATTTACAGTACTGTTTGAGTTCTTTAAATGAATAACTTGGTATGGTCTAGGTTTCATTCTAGCAGCTGAAATCAATAGACACCACTCCTGAGTGTTTAAATTTGTTTATGTGCCCGAGCCCTCCCGACTGTAGAGTGCATTGAATCCGCTTCCAGGTACGAATGACCTGATTCCATAAATTTTAAGTCAATGATTTAGAGATTATCAATTGTATTGACGGCATAGAGCATCGCTGTGGCAACGTTTTTATTTCTGTTTTGACCTCCGCATGTGTCAGAAAAGGAAGCTATGTGGCTTACAGTTTTGGGTAGGTCTAGTAGATATTTAAGCAGACATGACCCAATCTCAGAACTACCTTTGCTACCATGAGTTTCATCCCAAACATAGCAATAACTGTCTCGATCCATCATAAATTGTAAAATTGTAAACATTTAGATGGCTCTTGTAATATATCTGAGAATCACCAGCAAACGGAACGGATAGAATAGCTTTCAGATCGAATGTTATTGCTCTAAATGTATTTCCGAACGTGGCTACTGCCATCTTCTTTCATATCCATCTACTGTTTTTCGGCTTTTTTTTTATGCTTTTCATACTCTTCTCTTAAGGGATCTTTTTCTTTGGCCTGCTTGAATGCATTACACACTGAACACTGATCCTTTTTTCTACGATAAAAGGCAAGAGTTGGTTCAAAATCATGAAAAATACTTTGGTACACAAACTTTGAGACCGGACTTAAACTATTAGAAGTGCAAAAGTGTTTATATAATCGGTACATGATGGAAATGTTTAAATCTGCATTTAGATATTTTTTAGTTGAATCACGCCTGCAGTAATGCGACTGAATTCTTGGAAATGAGTT